CCCCAAAACCCCAAAACCCCAAAACCCCAAAACCCCATAGATAAAAAATCTGAAAATTAAGAATAATAATGGAGAAATCAGAGCAAGGTACTTACTTAAGCCAAAGCGTCACATTTGAGAAAGACCTAGTCTCCTTCTTGAGAGGCTGGATGATAGTGAACTTCAAGAGAAGCCTCTTTGTGGTTGACTGTACAGTCCTGTGGTTTGATAGCCAAAAGGGTCACAGTGCAGGCTTCCTGTATGAGTTCAAAAGAGAAAATCAGCAAAAACCAACCAGAATAATCCATCTTGGTGGTGGAAAAGTCTATGAAAGTGGGGAAGAATTCGAAGATCCAGATACTAAAGAGAGGTTCAAAGCCTTCGAAGTGACTATTGATCACGTTACCTACCAAATTGTACCAGAGAATGAGAAAAATTATGAAGTCCTACTAGAGGTCTTCCTCAAGATGGTCGAACTCCCTACTCCAAGCACCAGGAAACGCACAATAATTGCCAAAGGAGCAGTTGAAGTGGTCAAAACTCCATGGAGAATAGTCAGTAAGTCCATAAACTGAAATTCTTTGAGCTAAAATTCGAAAGTGTTTAACCCATTCTATACTAATCAGGCTACTACTAATTTTCAAAGTTTTCAAAGTCTGCCTAAACTCATCCCTTATTGTAGGAATGGTGACGTATTCACTAGAGAAAGTTAGCGAGGCCACTAGGGCAACTCCGAATGTCCTTACAGAGTTTAAAAGGGATAAGAAAGGTAAAAAGAAGAAATCTCAACCAGGAAATGCTATATCAGGAGTCTACAAGGGATCGACCATTTTTGTAAAATCAGTTTTTGATGGTGTCAGCGGTGTTGTTCTCAAACCAATCAAGGGAGCTAAAGAAAAGGGATTCAAAGGAGCTACAGTTGGGGTTGGAAAAGGAATCATTGGTCTGGTGTGCAAACCAATCGCTGGTGGGATAGACATGCTCACTAACACTGTTAGAGGGATTGGAAACACTCCAAAGAGTCTTTATAATGGGACTAAGAAAATGTTTAAAAAGGATGATTATAGAAAGCACAATAAAAATTACAAGCATCCTGCAATCAAGCCTTATATCCCTGGTGAATCAAACATCAAAGACATCGATGAGCTATATGTGGGCTCTAATGATGAAGGCGAGATTTATGTAGATAAGAAGGAACTCAAGAGACTTCTGAAAGCCTCTGGCTACAAGAAGGATTCATCAAAAGACTCCATTTTTGCTCAGATAGATGCCCAGACTGGTGAGCCAAGCGAAGATCTAGGCAGAATAATCAAAGAGTTCATTGTTAAGAAAGTAAAAATCTTGGTTATCAATAGGGCTTAACAGTCATTAAAAGAAGTAAAGAAGAGGAAGTAGATGACATTGATTTCTATACCTGTCAGGATGAAGAGGAATCCCAGATCCTTGCCTCTGAGGACTATGAGGTTTTCATGCTTAAGCCTATGGAAATAACTCCATATGACGTAGAAAGGTAAGATCCTTCATATAGCCAAAATATCTTAAATTTGCGCATGCCTAATTTTTTTCACAGTGAAGAAGATAGGAAGATGGAAGGAACAATAAGTATAATCTCCATTGATGGATCCAAATATGGTGATTCTAATTCTGAACTGAAGAATAGCCATCTATCTAGAACTATAGAAGTCCAAGAAACCCCAGAAGAAAGAGAGAAGAAGGCTAAAAGAGAGAGAATTGTCAAAATGGCTAAAAACTTAAAGACTCTTGAAAGATCAGATGACTTTAGGATCAATGACGCTCATCCAATAGGAGGATTTGCTTTATTAGACCAAGAAGTTATTAGAAAATATAGAAATGTAGCAAAAGAGGCGATTAAAAGGGTTGGATCTCAACTTCTTAGAGGGAAAATAAGTCTCACCTCTGTCTCCTTTCCAATAAAATGAATGGGGAAATTGTCCCATCTTGAAGCTATGACTTCTATTCTTAATGTATTTCCATCCTACCTGACATGATCAGCATATCAAACAGACCCAGTGGAAAGGATGAAATGGTTTTTGGTAGCCTTGGTCTCATCGCATTCCTCGACACACCACTTCGATAAACCTCTGAATCCGATCCTTGGAGAAACATTCAGCTGTGAATGAGATGATGGGTCGATTGCGTATGCTGAGCAGACATGTCACAAGCCACCAGTCACACACGCTCAGTTTTACGGGCCTGACGATTGTTACGTCCTTAGTATGCACTCAGGAATCAATGCTAAAGCAGGTTTTAACTCGATCACCTTAACATGCTTCGGGAAGAAGAACATCGTCTACAAAGATGGGGGGCGGATCTATTCGAACCAGCCTCCTGGCGATCTTCTCCAGAATACTTTCTGGGGGACTCTTACTCACCAATTTACGGGCAAGGTCGAGTATTTCGATGACGAAAATGGCCTCTACGCTTGGTACGAGCCTGGGACTCAAGACATCCAAGACTATATTGTGGGAGCTATAGAAAAAGACGGGGAAGTCGTTTCTAAAATTTATGGAAATTATTGCGGATTCCTCAACTTTGACAGAACAAGGTATTGGGATGCTAGGAGTACCATTAAGTTCCAAGTAAAGCCCCGGGAGGAGGGAAAACTTCCCTCTGACTCTAGCTACAGGGAGGATCTCATCTCCTACAAAGCTGGGAATGTGGATGAGGCTCAGAATAACAAAGAAATGCTCGAACAGATTCAAAGAAATGATGCCAAGCTGAGAGGCCATCACTAATTTATTTTAAGCATTTTTGTTCATCTCATACACTATATCTCGGGGTTTTGGGGTTTTGGGGTTTTGGGG